TGTCAAGTTTTTCAAAAAAAATGATTCATCACATTTTTTTTCTTTCTTCCATTTTCCCACTTTCCACACATTACAACGAAATCTTTCTCCGATGTTCCCTGATTGGGAGGGTTGAAAATGAGAGGGAGTGGAGAATTTTGAAAATTGCATGTTTTCCTCCACTTGCTCTCTTATTCTTCCAATCGAACACACACAAATCAAACAAGGTGTAAATGGGTTTTTACTAGTTTAAATAATGTTATATTGGTCTTAGGAATGAATTTGTGATGGATCTCACATATAATGTCTCCCGTAAAAGACATACATAGTAGAAAATTGATTTGAATGAGAAGAGCCTACTCATTTTTACGGGTAAGAGCATCCGCAAAAATGTACGCCACCTCACTATATTAGGCATCTTTTATTTATATCCTCCTCCAATGTAGATAGTCTCTCATATAATTAATTTAGCTGATATGGCAAGAAAATTAATACTCACTGTCGAGGAAACTTCTCGAGTGCAGAAACAATTCTAGGCCGCTAACACGATTTATACCGTGGGATCGAGCCACCGTGGGCACGGTGTGCCGATTCCAAATTGTGTCGCTTTATTGATTAAAACAAGGGAAAATCCATCAATCGTTGCCGCTAGAGGATCGACATAGGCATTTCCATCGCTAGAACAATCAATTTCCCGCCATCCGAGGACACTGATTGGCTGCAGTTCAAGGTTTCTTCTTCTTTCTTCTCCTTGTCCTTCTCCACTTCCTCCTTCTTCCCCTTTGTTCTTTCTCTGTTAATGAACGGGCGAAATTTTTAAATTTCAACCTCTAGTTATTCCAAATGATTTGTTTCAAGTTATTACGAATGATTCTATATAAAAATTTATTAGTTCTCAATTTTCCAAAGTCCTAAAGAAAATGATCATTGCACCCACATGATTATCAAAATTTATGCGAATGTATATGTTTCGTTTTCGAGTTCGAAAAATATTACTCCCTCCATTCCAATTTGATGTTCTCATTTCTTTGGGCACTAAATACCTTAATTCATCATGTTTTTGAAGTTTTCACCTTTTTTCCTATTATATACTTTCTCTGTAATTTTTAGTCATAACGGTCAAATTTTTATGATTGTAAATGCACAAATTTGACCATTACAACATTCATTTTCATTAATAATTTTTTTTCAAAGTAAAATCATTTTTTTAAAATTTAAAACGAGAGGGATTTAACAATATTTTTATCAAATCTAATTCATATGGAGTATTATGTATACATTAATATATAAAATATAGGATCATTAGTTTATTATGTCCCAAACTACCATCAGATTCACAAAACTATCCTATTCTTTTACTTTTATTAAAAAAGACTCAAATTTCATCCTTTTAAACAATGATTATGTTTTTTTTTTTTGTTTTTTCAAATTTACACATTTATATCAATATCAATAAGATATAAGCAATACAAGTTTATAAGCTTAAAACTAGAAAGAAGTGAAAAATGTGAAATATAAATAGGAAAAACTGAAAATAATAATCTCAACTATTGTCGTTCCCTCCATTAATAATCTCAACTATTGATTATTCATGGGTGGCCCCAACTATATGGACCATTTTCCAAAAATGGTCATTGACCTGTTATAACCTGATATAGCAGGTCATTTTTTAATGTGAACTATGTGTGAGCTTTAAATAATCCCAACTATAGTTGACCTTTTTTTATTAATCCTAACTATCAATTCTAAATTTTGTGAAGATGTAAAAATATTTACAAATTTCCAAACTAAATATTTTTAAGCTTGAAAAATTAATTACGAATACTCTACAAATGTACCTCAATTAAATAAATCCAATTAGTCATTTTTATTTATTTCCACTAAAAATTCATTTTGTCTTTTTCTCCAATTTGTTTTTCACAATTATGTTACCAATTTACGATTTAGTATTATTTTCTTTTATTCAAATTTACATTTTCTATTTTCAGAAAGTAAATTGTGATTAATTTTTTTACAATCTAGATCTTTATTCTACCTTAATCTAAAAATCTATTTTTTTTTTTATTTATTCCATTTTAGTATTTTTAATTTCTTCCAATGTTAAAATGTGAATAACATGAAATGGCGATAAAAAATTGTTTACCAAGGTCCGCACTCTTTCTACCTACCAAAATAGTTGTGATTATTATTACTATTTTGGTACACTTTTTCAACATGTTTGTGGTTTTCATCGTATCACTTAAAATTATAATATAAATACATTTTCATTAAATATAATCAAAACATCCAAAACCTATACCCCAAATCACTAAAATTAAATGATAAACTATATAATATAATTTATAGAATATAATAATATAAATAAAGAAACTAGAAAAGAACTATAAATACTTAAATAAATGGAAAAATAGAACATTTAAGTTATAAAATTTAAGATAGCATAAAATTAATAAATAAAGTTTTAATCACGATTTACTTTTTGAAAACAGTGCACTTTTGAATAAAGGAAAATAATACAAAATAATAAATTGGTAACATAACTGGGAAAAACAAAATAGAAAAATGGAAAAACAATTTGTGGAAATAACTCAAAAAATAGACTAAAAATATTTTATTTAACTTCAGTACATTTTTATAATTTTTGTAATTGTTTATACACGTTTAAAAATATTTAGTTTGGAATTTTATAAAAAAAAATTTACATCTTCAAACAATTGAGAGTTGATAGTTGAGATTAATAAAAAAGATCAACTATAATTAGGATTATTTAAAACTTACACATATTTCACATTTAAAAATGACCTGTTATACCAGGTTCTAACATGTCAAAAATCATTTTTGAAAAATGATCTCTATAGTTGGGACCACTAAAAAATCATCAATAGTTGAAATTATTAATGACAGACCGGTAATAGTTAGGATTATTAATGTCATTTTTTCCATATAAATATGATTTCCATCTTAAGTTTTACTAATTCATCCATTGAAAGTATAATTGTGAGAAACGTTGAAGTTTGAATCTATTTTAATAAAAGTGAAAGTATGAGATAGATTTGTGAATTTGATGATAGTTGAGGATATATTTAGCTAATAATTCTAAAATATAATAAAAGTAAAACTTGTGAATAGTACGGAGTATAAAGTTCACAATTGTTATGGTTGAAATTTTGACTTTACACCATACTTTTAGGTGATATTCGACTTTACACTCTATTAAAAAAATATGACTTTGTGTCATATCCTATAATATTTTGTGAAGAAAATATTCTGAATTAGAGTGCAAGTCAAATAATTTTCAAAGAAAATGACATGAAAAATCAATTGTTTTAGGGAAAACTGTCAAATAGGTTCTCGAACTTTCATAAAATAGTCAAATAAGTTCTTATATAGGAGGCTCTGTCTGGCAGTCGCAATTTGGGGCGGTTCCCGGTGGAATTTTTTTATGAATATTTTGAGCATCTTATTCATCAAGTCTAGTTTACTCATACCAAATTTCAGCTAAAACTTCAATCGGGAACGCATTCAAATTAATTTGGTATGAGTAAACTAGAGTTGATGAATAAGATGATAAAAAATATTCATCAAAAAATTCTACCAGGAACCGCTCCAAATCGCGATGGCCGGACAGAGCCTCCTATATAAGGACTTATTTGATTTTTTTATGAACGTTCGAGGACCTATTTAACAGTTTTCCTATTTTTTTAAGATGGAGTGGAAAAGTCAATAGTTAAATTCCCCTTTACATCTAAATTGAATGGAAGTAATATTTTCTAATTTCTATCACTGTAAGTTTATCTAAAAAATGCCAAGTTTGCTCACGAAGTTATGAGTGGCATATTTGTAACTTTTTCCTAGAGGTAAGGTTAGATTGGCCCTCGAAATTGCATAAAAATGGTCAAATAAGTTTTTACTGTCCGGTCGTCGCCATTTGGGGCGGTTCCCGGTAGAATTTTTTGATGATTTTTTTTATCATCCTATTCACTAAGTCTAGTTTACTCATACCAAATTGTAGCTAAAACTTCAATCAGGAAAACATTCGAATGAATTCTTAAAGATAACTGCGCTTTTAACTACGCAATTATCTTCAATAATTCATTTGAATGCTATTGAATTTTTAACTGAAATTTGGTATGTGTAAACTAGATTTAATGAATAATACGTTCAAAAAATTTTGTCAAAAAACTCTACATAGCCTCCTTTTTTCCTAGTTTTTTTTTTGGGAAAACTGTCAAATAGGTCCTCGAACTTTCATAAAAAGGTCAATTAAGTCCTTCTATAGGAGGTTCTGTCCGGCCGTCGCGATTTGGGGCAGTTCCCGGTGAAATTTTTTGATGAAATTTTTTAAGCATTTTATTCACCAAGTCTAGTTTACTCATACCAAATTTAAGCTAAAAATTCAATCGGAAACACATTCAAATTAATTCTCGAAGATAACTGCGCATTTTTGCGTTCTCGAATTAATTTGAATGCGCCCCCGATTAAATTTTTAGCTGAAATTTGGTATGAGTAAACTAGACTTGATGAATAAGATGCTCAAAAAAATTCATCAAAAAATTCCACCGGGAACCGCCCCAAATCGTGATGACCGGACATAGTCTCCTATACAAGAACTTAATTGACTTTTTAATGAATGTTCCCTGACAAAAACTTTTTCCTAGTTTTAAATCTGTAGTGTTCGACTGTTCGGTGCACCCCATAATACGTGTACCTTCATCTTTCTGTATCTCTCGGTAAAGGTGACATAGCAGCGGCCGCAGGAACTGTAGCAGAGAGCAACTAGAGAGAGAGATAGCGGCGGGTGTTCGAGGCGAAGCTCGTTTACTGTGCAGGCTAGCCTTGGGTTGGTGTGAATCGGGAGAGAGAGGAAAATGGTGGACTTGGGTCGGGTGCAGAAGGAGCTGCAAGAGTGCAACAGAAACGTGCAGGTTTCGGGCATACAGGTCACTCCCAGCGGCGATAGCTTAACCCATCTCAACGGCACCATTCCTGGACCTGTCGGTACTCCCTATGAAGGGGGCATTTTCAAGATCGACATAATTCTGCCTGGTATTCTTAATTTCTTCTGATTCTGATTATGTATCCACTCGGACATCCTCCATTTCTTTCCAATACAAGTGTTGATATCTGAAGGAAGTAGTGTTTCCTTCATGATTGATTTTTGACAAGGTTCTCTAGGGTTTTGTGAAGTTATAGCCTGTAGTGGTGTGTGCATACGTGTTTCTACGGGAAGGTATAACATATACATGAATTCATGTTAAACTTATAACCTTTTGTACTTGTAATTATTAACTATCTAGCATTTTTTGGTAAATTCTCCTGTTGATGACGTTACTGAGTTGCTAATCATGTGCATTTTTAACTAACAACGCGTTTTTTTTTGCTAACTAACCGCAACATGCTTTTAAAACTTACCACGACTGGGCTAAGCATCTAGTCCTGACTTATATATGGTGGTCTTTGACATTGAATTGAGTGGTTAATTGGTTATCGAGTGTAAATGAATAGGATTTGTTGATGTTCTCCTTAGTCCTCAAGGGTAACAATCGGTAACAATGTTGCTACAGTTTTCCTAAGAACTTTAAATTACAGTGATCATTTCATAGGGAATTTGGATTTATGAGGTTATGTACCTGTAGTTTATCTATGCCCAAAGGGTATAAGTATACAACAGATAAGCCACTTAAAGTGGAGGGAAGTTAAGTGGAATTGCAAAAATAGTAAATGCAATTCGAGTGTTTCCTTGTCAGTTTCTGATTTTCTTTACTCTTTTTCTTGCAGATGGGTACCCATTTGAACCTCCAAAGATGAAATTTACCACAAAAGTCTGGTATGGTGAATTACTTTTTCTGTTGTATAATCTAATTTATTATACAGTTAATTTCGTTGCATGTAGTAGCATCATAACAGATCGTGATGGATCCATGCTATCTGAATCTTAAGCTTTGTCGAAACTTTGAACTTGATTTTAGAGATTTTTGGAGTTTAATGCTTCAAAAATGTCGATTTTGTGATAGATCAAGCTACCATTCATGGAACATTTAATGTGAGCTCTTTATTAAATACCTCGTAGTATTTATCATGGAAATTAATGACACATAAAAATGGACACAAAGTATATTTTTTAATGTGGAATGGTAATTAATAAAACTTTATAAAGGCATCGAAGCGAGCGCTGTGGCACACAAGGAACACATTCACTAAACGCTCTTGGGCCTATGCACTTAAAGATGAACAAAGAGTAAATAAGTGTCTTCCATGAGCAAGAAGGTTGTGCACCATTTGCATTACTCAAAGATGGTCTTTTTATGCTGTGGGATTTGGATGATAGGCAAGAAGAGAGCAGAATGACACTGGAACCCTATTTCTCATTCTCTTTTTCTAAAAATTCATAACACAATTTCTAAAGCTGCATCCTGCCATTGCTTTTTCCTCCTTGCAGAGTTGCAACTTTTTTGGACTTTGTCTAGTAAGTAGGCCTGGGACCGGCTCAGTTCCTAGGTAAAATAGATGGAACTGTTTGAAAAATATCAAATCTTAGGGGGTGTTTGGATCTGATTCTTAAAACTGCTTCTGCTCCCTGAAGTTGGAGTGTTTGGGTGAAGTGCAGAAGTTATTCTGGTGCTCTAATTTACTCCTAGAATCAGTTATTTTAGAAGTTGGAGGTTCACCTTCTGAAAACTAATTCTGATTCTGTTTCTGCTTTAAAAAAGAAGCAGAACCAGAACCAGTTCCAAACACCCCCTTAATAACGGTTCGGTTCTTATAGTTTTTTTATAGAACCGATATGGAAACAAACCATTCTCAACGGTTCGGTTCTTGTCATTAATTTTTTTTTGACAAATTACCGTTAAATACTCCCTCCGGTTTTTAATAAACTTCACACTTTCCTTTTTGGGACGGTCTAAAATAAACTTCACACTTCCTTATTTCCTTTTTTGGCAAAGAAATCTACATCAAAACAGTGTCAAACAGTGTCTCAACAGTGCCAAACAGTGTCTCTACAGTGCCAAACAGTGTCAAATAGTGCCTCAACAGTGTATTCTACAGTAAAATCAAATTTCTTTCCTTATTTTGTGTGAAGTCAAACTGAGAAGATTAAAAAAAACCGGAGGTAGTATAATTTGTGCCGAAAAACATTCAATGTTTGAAATTACAAGAAATGTAAATATGTTCACCATCATTTCAAACCTCAAAAGTTGAGTTTAAAACATAAATAAATACCAAACTGAAAATTTTAGTAAATGAAACAATACAACATATTCACTACAATCAATAATTATGATCTTGAATCAGTAACGTAATTAGTCCCATTCATCTCAAAGGGTCACGAGGAGAGCACTCAATTCCGATCATCTGAGCCTCTAATAAAAGGCCTAAGAGCCTTAGAGGTACTCGTTAAAATAAGTAATAATGTTAAATTCTTAAATAACTAAACTAAAATAGTCAGTGGAATATAAAAATAAACAAGTAAGTATACATTAAAATATATATACTAATAAGAAATATATAAATTTTAAATTATTATGTATAACGGTTCCTTAATGATTCTAGGTACATATTTTTTTCTAGAAACCAAGAACCGAACCGATAATAAGAAATAGGAACTGAACCATTAACAAGTAACTAATAAATGTTGGAACCGAACCGAACCGGGTCATAACAGTTCAGTCCGGTCCGGTCCGGTTTGGTTCTTGGTTCCCAAGTCCCAGCCCTACTATTAAGTCTTTTCTTCTTAGCTTGCCTTTTTTCTTTCCTATTTCTCTCTCTGTTATTTCTTGCTCTTGATTTTTGTTCACCTTTTAGCATCAGACATGTTCCTTTCTCCTTTATTTCTTTGTATTTAGCTATTGGTTTGAGTTAATTCCAATATATACTGTTTAAGTTCACTTCAAAATTGATCAAGTCGTGTCCCCAACTTTGCAAAAGTCTCCCATTTGTGCCCTCTCTCTGAATTTTTTCGTTTAGATGGGGGTAAAATCACATTTTGTATCTTTCCATCAAGTTTACTATGGTTCCTTATCTCACTGACTGAGTGGAGGCACTACACTAATAGAAAATAAAACTACACACACACTAAACTTAGATTCTCATTTTATGGGTGGTTTCATTCTGTCTTTGAACTTGAGTCATGAATTATGATTTGTTTTGGACTTGACGGACTTCTAGACTTTTTAGCATCCATTATTTACTATTATGCTACGTAGTATTAATTTTAATGATACTTATTGGTCATGCTTGTCATTAGTTGGTATTTGGTATTTAGACTACTCTCTTTTTAAAATACTTTTTTCCTTCTCGTATCCTAAGGCATACTGATGCTCTGCTTTTCCAAGACAAGATGCCTCACGCTGTGACACTCAAATTAGTATTTTATGCATTGATGATATTTCCATTCAATAACACCGCATTATTGATTTTTTTAGCAAGAGTAACTCTGTAATGAGCTATTAATGTAACTGAAGATGTTTATTTTCTTCAAATACATTCATGTCTCATGGACAATACTTGGCATTTATTATTTGACATCTCAACTTCAAATAATAACTCAGTAATAAGACATGAATGTAATAGAAGGATAAATGCCAAGTACTATATTAAAGATAGTACAAGACTCAATATATACTCTCACAAGAGCCTGAAGATAACTCTCCAGCAGGTCAAACATTCGACCATTAGCTATGTTGATATCTTCTCAAAGTTACTGCCAACCTTCTTCAAAGTGGCTCATTATTTAATGTTTATAAACTACTATGAGAATATATACTACTTGATGCACTTATTGACTTAATGTAATACTGCCTCTGTCCCTTTTATATTGGTACGGAGGAAGGTGGCACGATTATTAAGAAAAGTGGGTTTGTGTGGTTGATATTAATTGATAAAGTAAAAATAAAGTAAGAATGATTTGGAGCCACACAAACTTTACCAAATACGGTATGGGACAATATTAGTGGGACATCCCAAAAAGGTAAAACGGGACAATATAAGGGGGACGGAGGGAGTATATAACAAGCAAGATGATAATGGTTGAATTGCGTCATGGGATAGTGAATGATGATGTTTGTTGTATTGGATTTTTCTAATACAATACAACAGGTGTGTGCTTTACCTAAGGCGCAGTATGAAAATGTTGTAAACTAAAAGGTGCTCTCCATCGAAAAAACCTGTTGACCAACTTGGAACATTTTAGTTTTGTTAAGGCACAGCTATTGTAAATTTTACTTTTTAAACTTTTGAGAAATTCATTTGCTCAATGAGTTTTAACAAATTCCTTGAAAAAATGATTTTGTATGACCAGCAGCTTCATTATACCCTAAAATGATATCACTTCAAATCTTGTTTCATTGCTTCAGACTTTTGTGGAGCTGGAAAATCATTCCCATGAAATCATGAATATATTGCAGTACTCCTTGATTTTTTTATCATACATCCACAATTCACAATGAGTCAATGATTGATTCCTTTGATTTGTATTTTTTCAAATTGGCTGCTAATTTGCTACCATCAACACATCACACATAGAAATGACAAGATACATCTCATGCCTGAGATATTGATTGGTAGTTGGTGCTACATTGCTCTCGCTGTCACACTTGTTGCTCTTGAAGACTGGAACAATAGTCTTTAAATTATACATCTACTGTATGGCTGATTCAATGTTTATATGATAACATGCATAAATCATGAAATTGCATATTACCCTTATAGTGTAAGGGCCTAAGTTCTACACTTCTACATGTGCTGTCTAGCCATATTGATGCAACATCCTTTGTTGATCCGTTCTATTTTCTTCTATCGCAAAAGAAAGTCCTCTTCACAAAAATAAAAAAAAATAGTCTTTCCTCAATGCACTCTTACTATCCTTTAGCTTTTAAACTCTTGAGCTGTTCTCCCTATTTGAGGGACATTTTTGGAATATACATCACATTCTTTATGTTTTCATCTAAACTGTCCATAAAGTAATTGTCCCTTTTATTTTAAGACAGAGAGTGGTATCTTATTTTAATGCTTCGAGTTCAGCCATCAAGCTTGTGAAAGATTCAAAGATTACTTCAATATGAATTGCCTTATTTAAGTTTTTTAAAAAAATTATAGTGATTCATGAGAGTCTAAAAGGTTTGGGTTTGTCTTCACTTAGTCATGATTTGGTTTCCTGCACGTCATCTTCTTTTGTTTTGTGTTTTTTGTTCATTCAATACTTTTACAACAAAAAACACAAAATTATAGTTTTGTGGACTTCCACAATTTGACCTCAGCATTTTTTGCAAGTTCATGTATCAGTTGTGTATTTCCTCGTTAGAAACATGAAGAAAGTGAATTTATATTTGTGTCCTCTAGACTCCACTTGTTGAGCTGGTAAGATCTACCAGAACAACCTGTCTTTTTCTTTTACACTTATTGGTCCTTTAACCTGTCATGTTATGCTGTTTCTGCCAGAAGTGTAGAAGCACTTCTGGTGGGTAACAATCTTTTGATGTGAAACAGTCATTTTGTATAATATGGAGATTAGGAATTGACAAGCAACATGCTTATTATTATAGGGGCCAAGGGGGTTTCATGAATTCTATGTTTTTTTTAATATCAAATTTGTTATATTTCTGGTCATTCGTGTATCTGTATTAGTGAATACAAATAATACAATGCAGTTGCTATTCAGTTATTCAAATGTAATATCAAGTTTTTTATTCACTTTCATCTTAAAATATGATAGTAAAAAAGTTCTCCACAAGTTTCAGAAATAATTTATTTTATGATCTGTACAATTGATTGCCTTTTGAAGGCACCCCAATATAAGTAGTCAAAGTGGAGCAATATGCCTAGACATCCTGAAAGACCAGTGGAGCCCAGCACTTACTCTAAAGACTGCGCTCCTTTCTATACAAGCACTGCTCTCTGCTCCTGAACCAGATGATCCACAGGATGCAGTGGTTGCAGAACAGGTTAGAGCTTGTAGTTGTATTCCTCTTGAGTCTTGGTTATCAGCCTATTAATGCAGTTTGTTATTTTCCGCTATGGCTTTCTGCAAAGCTGTACATATATACGCATATAGAGAGAGTTGTTGAAATGACCACCCAATCCTCAAACGAAACGATCTCTTTTCTAGCCACTGATCCTTGGGTTTTCCATGTGCAGTATCTGAGAGATCACAACACCTTTCTTGGCACTGCTCGGTACTGGACAGATGCTTTTGCCAAACCCTCTCTCGGACTTGATGAAAAGGTACACAGACTTGTGGAGATGGGGTTCCCTGAAGCCCAGGTTAGGAGTACTCTGGAACTTGTAGATGGAGATGAAAACTCCGCTCTTGAAAGGCTTTGCTCGGGCTAGTTCCTTTACTGCTGCTAGATATGCAACCTAGATGTGGGGGGATAGAAACAAAAAAAAACAAAAATAGAGAGAAAAGTGTTCGATGAATATTGTAAGCATTTGTAGCCCTTGGGTCTAAAATTATGTAGTCTTTTGCCCTTGCTCTCTCCTGCACCGATCTAGGGGTGTAAACGAGCCGAGCCGAGCCCGAACTCACATATGCTCGAACTCGAGTTCGAAAATATTTTATATGCTCGAGTTCGGCTCGAGCTCGATCGAGCTTAAAATATTGAAGCTCGAGTTCGACTCGAAAGCTTCAGTTGAGCTCGCGAGCCGCTCGAGATTGACTCGAAAGCTTTGCCATTTTATCAAAAATTGATGATGTACGACTTGCTTGGTGCTCAATTGTTGCCATGGATATGAGGTGTTTATAGCTAGCTACTAGAGGAAATTTTTCCTCACTCTCCGGTGTGGGAAGTTTAGAGATTAGAAACTAAAAAACTAAAAACAAATGGATTAGGACTTTAGGAGTACCCAAAAGTCTGCCACATAGGGGATTCGAACTCGGGTGGCATACGAAGCCTGCAAGGGAATTTCCACCCAGCCTGCTAACACGTTTCTGTAACTTTTTATGTCAATTTGTTTTATTCCAATTCCTAGTGAACTAACAAAAAACTAATTATAATTATTATGAATAATGATTATAATAATAAATAATGTTTCATTAAATTATTTCTATTATAATATACGTAGTAATAACTAATAAGTATTAAGAATAGAGTAATCCTAAATTAGAATAACTATTTCAAAAATATTATATATATATATAATTATACACAACATCAAGGCTCGCGAACCGGCTCGCGAGCCACGAGCCTAAAATAAAGAGGCTTGACTCGAGCTTGTTTAGTATACGAGTCGAGTCGAACTCGAGCCGAACTTGAATATGGCCGAACTCGAGTCGAGCTTTTCCCGAGCGATCCACGAGCGGCTCGCGAACGGCTTGGCTCGTTTGCACCCCTACACCGATCTTATGTCACCAATATCATATCATAGTCTAACAAAGCGTTCATTTTTCAGGTAACGTCTACTATTATAATTTGGTGTTCGTTTACACTTTAAGGCTGCATTTGATAGCATTCATTTGCTGATTTTGTTGACTAGTCAGAATTAGTAGAATAAGTAGCATTTGACTTACAGGCTGCTGTTGGGTTTACTAGACGTTTTTTCCTGACAGAAAATTCACTACTCTTCATTCTACCATTTGAGAGAATTACCAAATGGGCTCTAACTTCTAAGAGTCCAGTTATTTCAATTCCAGTATTCAAGTGAAAGTGACCATCACTGGTAAGTTTAAAATGACAATGAAAAGTAATGTGCGGCTGTCAAATGGGCTCTCAGTACGTCTGCATGTGTATGATGATTGATTGATTATGCCTTTTGTGTATGATGAATGATTGATTATGCCTTTTGTGTAAATTATAAATGGAGTATTATCCTAAATATTTCAACTACCACTTCAATAGTTCAATGGACTTGAATTTTTAAAATGTAACCATGAGTTGAAGCAAAATATACCGAATGTTCTTTTGGATTATTTTTGTTGGTTTAGTTTGCTCGATTGTATTTAGCTTGATGATCTGGGTTGATGGCTTGTGATTTGTGAATCTTAATTTTTTATAATATAAGTAATGGTGTAATATATTATTTTGGATTAAATTTAGAAATGCAACCATTAGTTGTAGAGGTGGACCGGTTCCGGGCCGGGCCCGGTTCGGGCCTTGAACCGGCCGGGCCTCGGTTCAAGGTAGGGGAGGCCTGGAACCGGCCCGGGTAACCCCGGGTCCGGTTTGGGCCAGGCCGGGCCCGGTTCGGTTCTATATAATTTTTTTTGGGGTTTTCATAATCAACCCCCTACCCTCCCCCTCAACCCCAAACCACCTCAAATGGCCCAAAATACCCAATCCAACCCAAAAACTTAAAAAAAATCCAAAAAAAAAAAAAAAAACAATCCGGCCCGGACCGGGGCCGAACCGGCCGGGCCGGTTCACCAAAATGAAGCCCCGAGCCCGGAACCGGTAGCCACCGGGTCGGGTCGACCCGAACCGCCCATGGGCCGGGCCGCCGGGCCGGTTCAAACAGTGACCGGGCCGGGCCGGTTCTGGTTCGGGTCGGGCGGCCCGGCCCGGTTCCTGTTTGGCCCGGCCCGGCCCGGGGCCCAGGGCCCGGTGGGTCCAGCGGTTCGGTTTGGCCCGACCCGGGTGATGGGCGGTCCGGGCTCGGGCCCTGCTTTAGGCGAACCGGCCCGGCCGGTTCGGGCCGGGCCGGATTTTAATTTTTTTTTTTTGAAATTTTTTTAAGTTTTGGGTTGGATTAGGTATTTTGGGCCATTTGAGGTGGTTTGGGGTTGAGGGGGAGGGGGTTAAATAGGAGAACAAAAAAAAAGGATCGGTTTGGCCCGGCCCGGCCTGGCCCGGTTTGGCCCGGAACTGGAACCGGAGTTGGAATAGGAGAACATGAAAGGTTGAAAAAGAAATAAAATAAAAACATATTATTGGTATATTTTTGCCTTTAAATTTGCATATACTATAACAATGCAAACACAGTTAAGGAAAAATGTAGCAAAACAATGATATGCCAATTAAATAGACATAATCTTTAAGAAAAATTGATTGTAATAATCCCAACTATTGGCGGTCCGCTTATAATAATCCCAACTATCGATTATTTCTGAATAATTCCAACTTTAGGGACCTTCCGCCAATAACGGTCCATGACCGCATATTGCCTGCTGTAACATGTGAATTTTTAATAGAAATTAAGCATAAAAATTAAAATTTGGGATTTTTTATAGGAACTACATGCTATATCTCTTTAGAAACTATAGGAATTTATTTATAGTCGATCACGTCGGACCATTATTGGCGGAAGGTCCCTAAAGTTGGGATTATTAAGAAATAATCGATAGTTGGGATTATTATAAGCTGACCGCCAATAGTTGGGATTATTATAATCAATTTTTCCTAATATTGGAAAAATTGATTGTAATAATCCCAACTATTGTTTGCACTGTTAGAGTATATGCAAATTTAAAGGCAAAAATATACCAATAATATGTTTTTATTTTATTTCTTTATTAAATTCATGTAAAGACTTAAAAAGAATATAATTAAATTGTTGAATATAATAAAAAAAATTCACAATCTTCTCCTTTGTAATTGGTTGAATATTAGTTTTAATTCATTCTTATACCGTCGGAGTTAAGATTTAAACAATATAATTAAGTTTCAAAATCACACAAATATGATACAACAAATAGTCATATACACTACATATTGGAAGTTAATAGTGATTAATGGTTTTTAAAATTTTAGCATTTTTTCAATCTATACAAAATGTAACATAAGTTATTTATTTTTTATCATAAAGAAGGTGACTTGTATTAAATAATAGGAACTAGGACAAGTAACAAAACGATAAAAAGCCCCTTCCCAATCGTCAGCTCTCGTACCAGACTCAGAGAAAATCACCTTACAAAAAGTAATATGACTTGTTGATCCTATAACTGAGCCAAAGACAGTGAAAATAGACTTTCCATAACCCGACACAAACTCTAGAGTCTGACAGAAGTAAAACAAAACATAACCAACATAACAATCTGACCAACACAAAAAATTAAAATAAAGCCAAAACTAGTAGATGTATACTGCTTCAAGAATGTCAGGCGGATCTTGAAGTGTCGTCTTCCAAATTCTAGCCACGCGGCCACTCCGGGGCGGCGGTTCAAGAGGAGGGCGTACCCCGCCTTTGCGGCTACTCTCAGACTCGGAACCACATCTTTCCAGCCAGCCATTGAACTCAAACATTCCAATTACCATACATCAAATAACAAAGCTAAACGCCGATTCCACAAATCCGACCACGTTTCATTCTGAGCGAGAGACATCGATCTCCATGATTCCCCCTTACGAACTCCAACTAGTACAAAACACCACTGAGCAACTAACGTAACATAATGTCGGCTCACTTAAAAAACTTACCTAAGTTGTTTAAAAAGAACGAATAACAAAATTTATATAAACACATACATTTAGCTATTTTAAAGATGAATGAAACCACTTGAGCTATAAAGTTGTTGGTCTGGACAAGAGACTTATTGGATTGAAAAATATAAAATGTATTACTTTTAAATTGTTCGATCAGATATTTTTTATTCTCGAAATATGTGGGATCCGAACCCGTTTGAAACGACACAGTTTCAATTCGGGATAAAAAATTATAGACCATCTAAATACCCAATATTCACTTGAATATCATTTACCCGTTCGATGCGGGTTGCGGGTTGGATTACAATGCCCACCTCGAATTTCAATTTCTTTTAAAAGCATTATTAGAAGAATAGAAGATACTAGTACATTTTATTCTAAAAAGAAATACTCCATCCGTCCCACTAACAATGCGACAAGAGGGAGTGACACACAAATTAATAAAAAATAGTTTATGTGGTTGATATTGAATTGATAAAGTAAGAATGATTTAGAGCCACACAAACTTTGCCAAATTTGTTATGAGACAATCTTAACGGGACGGATTAAAATAATATAATGAGACAATTTTAACGAAACGGAGTAATAGAAGATACATTTTCAAAAATTCATAAAAACTCAAATAAACAAGGACATAAAAGACTTAAATAAGGGGAAATAGGATACACGCTTGTTGGCGTATTGTTTTGATTCCATCGTGGCTCCGTAGTCCATACCCAATCCATATCTCTCAATTTTCCGAAGTATTTCTAAACCCCCAAAACTGTATGTATGACCACAGAACTAGAGATAAATGGAGGGAGAAGGCACAAGAGAAAACATCTGCTTGATATACAGTATCATTTATTTATATTTTCTTCTGTAGGAATTTCAGTTTCTACGCACATCAAAAATATTAAATATACAGTTATACGCATACATTGCCTCGCTTTGTCGTACTGTCATTGCAGAAGATGTTGATCGGAAGAAGTTTTACTGGTATAGGGGTGGGGGTATTTTCGTACATATTTTTTCTTCTGCTGATGATTGTAAAAATGTGTCCCTTTGACGTCGAAGTTTTTTTATACGGAGTATATGGTTTTGTAATATTTTTTTAAAAAAAAAATTGGGGAAGGGAATCAGGAAACAACATGATTTTTTTTATGAAGGCTTTAAAGGGTGGAACATGAAAATGTAATTGAAATCACCCTCGATTAAGCCAGCTGACATGACAATTTTATATTGCACAAACAAACTCTCCTCTAAGATCATCTTGTTCTAATCCAAAAAAAAACTTGTGATTGCCTTCTCGTATGGTCGGATGAGTGAGATTTTGTTTAAATATATGTTGTTCTGCCAATAACTTCTTAATTACCCATCAGTACCAGTCAACAAAGAGAAGTTCTTCCTGTTT